GAGGGAGAGGTCCTCTCTTGTCGGGCAGTGTTTGATCATTATGGGCTGAGAGGTTAAGTGTAAGACCATAGAGGGTAATACCTGATGGGTTAATTTTGCATCTGCCCACAGTCCTTGGGTGTTACAAGGTGGCTTGGCCCAGGGACCACTTAGGGTAAAGTGTTGGGCTCATAGAGCCCATGTGATGGGTTTCAGGGGGTGCACTGTCCATAACAGTGTATTCAGCCAGGTCTTGTAACAAAGACTGGGCTGAACCCATGTGGCTGATGTGTAGATCAATGTTTGGGTCCCATGCCATACAAGGAAGTCTAATTGGGCATCAGTTTGGAGGGCTAAGTGAGCACATAACCTTAATGGGCCTAAAGCCCATTTCGAACTGGACTGATTTGATCAGTTAAATGAGGGGCGAATTCTGAGATTGAATTAGCAGATGGATTTGAGCCTTAACCCTATCCACTCAGAGAGTATATCTGAATGTGATTCAGATATGGAAATCTCCTAATAGGATTAGGAGAGAGCTGATTCAATCTACAGATAAGATAAGGGTTTATCCTTATCACTTAAAAGGAATTCTGATTCAAATATGATTTGGATCAGCAACTCGTAATGGGATTAGGAGTTGATCCCTTTAAACTTATAAAAGGAGGAAGGGGGCGGCAGCCTTAAGACACACATACAGATACACAATCTATAGTCTTCAGAGCTGAGATTACAAAAGAAAGAATTCAGCAATCTTTGCGAAAATTCTTTCTTATTGCCTCCTTCCTGCTGCCGCCAGAACTGCCAATTTGATCTCCTGTCTTCAGTAGGAGCAATCAAGATTCGATCTTGATACCAACCCTTTGTGAAATGACTGATAGGAAACAGTGCTCACGTGCCATCCAACTATTCTTGCGAAGGATCAGGTTCTTGGAAGAACGCTGTTGATTCTACTCCATCCTGCACTGCGCCATTTTCAGTGGGAGCAGTCTTTGAATCATTCCTTGGGCATGAACACATCCATTGAGATAATATTTCTCTGTATCAGATATAATCCTCTCTTAATGCTTTTATTCAGATCTAGTTCAGTTTATGGTTCAAGATTGATCATTGAAAATATGATTTTTTAAAATAGGGAATGTGATTCCCAGTTGAAGAAAGAGAAATTTTTTTGAAATTTACCCACCTTATTCCGCAAAATTTGGGCATCTATACGATGGAACTCTCATCCCTTCACTTAGTGTTTCACCAACCTCTAATGGTGAAACATTCAACCAGAGGCAAGCAAAAAACATCCAATAAGCTTCTTCTTCTCATTCATCTAAAACCCTGTTATTCATCTCAAATGTTATGTTTTTCCTCTTCCTCTCTACAGACCATCGGCAGCGCCTTCACTGTTTAACCAACCTCCGACTGTGTCTGTGTGAATAATACTTTGAGACATTGGTTCCGCAGCCTATCGTACGACTAGGTACTTGAGAGGTCATCTGCAGCCTTCTGTTTTGTGTTGTCAATGCATTTGACCGATACTGTATGCCTGCTGCTATTGGGCAGGCTGTGAACCTATTACAATTTTCTCACACATTCATGCGGTGTGGGGCGTTAAATAACTATTTTCTCAGCTAACGTTCAGGTCAATATGAATATGTGTCCTTTTGAAGGAAGCAACTCAGTAAGGATTGACAAGAGGTGCACTTGCAACCATTGGATTGGTCATTTACAGTCCACCCTCATCCTCTTTGAGCTCATACTTCAGAGCTAATGTGGTTGTGATGGGAAAAAAAATTATCATTGCCAGGGGTGGCGAAGGGGAGCCATGGCCTCCTATGCTTTGAAAATCCTCACAATCCCTATTGATGATTCATTTATACTTTAACCCTTCACCCTTGTTTTATTAACTTTTGGCCCCCTAATCTATGTTCATTAGTATTTGACCCCCCTAACATAAAATCCTAGCTCCGCCCCTGATCATCGCTCCGCAAATTCTGGCCACTATCTAATGATGAAATTGGAATCAAATTCCTCATGTAATATGGGAGTTGAGAAGAATTTGGATATTTGCAGTGTGAGCTCGTGACCTACTTCTCATACCCGCTTCGCACCAAGGACTACTCGAGGTGCTCGACAAGCCGGAGGGGTGGAAGACAGTGACCGAGAAATACAGTGAGAAGCTCATGGAATCGGCCAGCAAGTTGTTGGGTGTGCTGTCGGAGGTGATGGGGCTTGAAACAAATGCTCTTACCAAGGCTAGTGTCGACATGGACCAAAAGGTGGTCTTCAACTATTATCCCAAATGCCCACAACCTGACCTCACTCTTGGCCTCAAGAGACAGACCGACCCCGACACCATTTCTCTTCTTCTATAGCACCAAGTTGGAGGCCTTCAAGCTACAAAGGATGGGGCAAGACATGGATCACCGTTCAGCCCGTCAAAGGGGGCTTTCATCGTCAACTTGGCGACCATGGTCACGTAAGTTTTAGCCTAATTCACAGTGAGGACGGTGAAATAGTGAGGACGCTGCCCATATTCTTGTGTTCTTGAGCTGGGGCTTGGGTGAAAATGGGGGAGAGAGGGAGTTCAAACGAAGGGGAAAGAGGTTTCGATTGGTTTATTTTTTCCTGCTCGGTTGAACCGGTCTGACAAGGGAAACGACTTGCATTTAATGTTACTTAGAGTAACAGAATAGAGGAGAGACGAAGGGGCGACGCGCACGCCTCCTATTGGAGGGTTCACTTGCCCCATGAACCTAAGGGTCCACTGAATCCGGACTCGGTTCAAGATGGTGATTAAAGGATAACTTTTATGAAAAAACCTCCAATAATAAACAATCAAAGATGTACATTAAGTTTGGAGCTTCTAAATTTAAATAGATCTCTCTCTCTTATATATATATATAGGAGAAATGGCTGAGTGGTTCAAGGTGTAGCATTTGAACTGCTATGTAGGCTTTTGTTTATCAACCATAAGGGTACATTACGAAATTTTCCCTAAAAAAAACATAAAGGGCTAGTTCAATTTTAAACTTTTGGAAGGAGAAAAGTTGGTAACCAATATACTCTTGTATTTTTTTTCAGATTTATACGGGGTCTACAAAAAAAATTATTTTCCCGAGACAATTGACAACTCTTTTATGGGGTAAAATTATCCCTTTCAATAATGACTTTTTACCAGAAAAAAAAATAATAATATATGCAAATGCACTTAACTGACTAAAAAGAATATATGCAAATGCACTCGACTGATTCAGATAACTGCATTTACCCGAGTAAAGAACTTCCGGAAAAGCAAACTAGGCTAAAGAGTTTATTGTTGGGGGAATTTCGTTGATAGACAGCCTAGAAAACAATAACACAATAACATTGTCCGGGCCTGTCCTTCTTTAACCCTAATTAAGCCCTAGGCTTCCACTTTGTTTCTATCATCTTATCCAGTTATCCTTGGACGTACCGTGACTCGAAAAAGAAATTAAGGAAAAAAAAGGAGTGAAAATCCATTAGAAAAAATTCGACTTCTCAAGAATTAGAGGTGGGTAATTTGGTAGCCACTACATACACCTTCAGCTGCTACAAATGAATATCAAAACTCATATTATAGAGGCAATGAGGCCGAACAACAAGCAAATGAATGGTGGTGTGATGTCTCCTCCTCGGCCTCTCACTACTCTGCTGCTTCACTCACGGCGGCCAGCCAAGTAATTAGCAATGGCTAAAGCGTTGCTGCATAATTTGGTGAAGAGTGCGTTCTTGTCGCTTAGCAAGGACGTATGGCCGGGCACCTCTTTGAATCCCTCCTCGCACGACTCTATTTCATTCATGGCGCCAGTCACCCAATGGTTGATGTCGCTGTAGCCTCTAGATTCCAGAGCGGAAATCGAGTCCTCCAGCTGATCGATAGCGTCTATATAATTCTCGGAGCAGTCGGTTAGGCATTGCTGAAGGTAGGGATCTGCGGTCGTCTGGATCAGCCGTCTAATGTAGTCGGAGATGTAGGTTCCATTGGAGGCTGCGATCTTCAACGCGATGGAAGCAAGGCTTTTGATATCTGATTTTGCGCTATCGGGCTCCAATTCCATGGTTTGAATGCAGAGGTCGGTGTAAACGGCGTGTTGGCACGTCTCTTTGATCAGGTCTGGAATGCCACCACCACCAGGATGATCAACTGACAACAAATTGCTCACAGCCCACGCTTGGTCTGGTACGAGGGTGAGACATATAGCCATCACCATGAGAGGTAGTAAAATGAGGAGACGACGTGAAATGGGGTGGATTTCATCTCCCATAACTGTCGTTACTAGCAGTAGCAGTGTCGTCTTCTTCTTCTTCTTCTTGGTTTTCTTTTTTCTGTTTTTAATTAGTTCTTCCTGAATCCTGAATTCCTGATCGATCGATGGAACCCTGTTGAGAATGGTTTGGAGTGGTGATTTCCAATGCAACGAGAAACGAGAAACAAAGAAGGTGATGATGATTGTTATAGTATTACAGCCTTTTTCAGTTGCAGGATGTAAGAGAAGAGAATACAGAAAGAGACATTAGTTAGTTAATGGAGAGGTAATAAAGAGGCGTTGAATGAAGAGTGTGAGCAGTGACCACCACTCATGCAAGAGAGGCACGCCTTACCGCACAAATAAACAACAACATTTGAAAGTTTGAAAGTTGAAACCATCTTCCCCTGCTAACAAGGGTGCATGTGACTATGTGAGGCCCACTGATCACACCATGGACCTATGCCTCCTAGTTTGATGGGATGCCAACTGACTATTTCAATTAGCAGTTATCATTTTTTAACCTAATCGGGTAATCGGGTCTATTTTGGGTTAAAGACTTAAACCTCCCTTCCAATTTCTCCTAAATACTGAAAACCTCCCCTCACTTTTTTAAAATAGACTAATACCTCCCCTGTCTTAATTATATCCAACAGCTTACAGAATGATTAAAAAGTCTCTTTTATTTTTATCCTTGTTAAGTCGTTAAATTTTCAAACAATGGAATTCTAACAGAAAACAGCGAAAGTGTCCCTTCTTCAAATTTCCGTCCCATTTCAAGAAACAATAATTGAAACTGCGCAACTCTATCCCCCTTAAAAATTTGGATGAAATCTTTGAATTTTGAAATAAAGAATGGTCTTTCTCAAACTTTAATTATCCGAAGAGGGCCGGGGCACAAGGAGCGAAGGCCTAATCGTCTGATTGGGCGTGTCTTAGCTTTCGTTCATCAATCCTTGTTGTTTAGGGAAAAGGGTTCTAGAGATGGATCAAATGAAAGGGTTGAAGGGATCATTTTCTAGTTTTGCATGAGAAGTCATACCCAATAATTAAAATATCGGTATCAGATATCATATCGGCAATTTAGATTCGGATATGGATATGAATACGTTTTGGAAATGCATAAATATAAATGAAAAATATGAAACGCGAAGGAAAATATATAAAAATTTCATAAATATATTAATAATATTAAATTTAAGGTGAAATAACAATAAATAATGTATAAATATATAAACAAGATATATTTTAATGATGTACATGAAAGAATATATTACAAGTCTTGTAATTTTCTAATGTAGGACGAGTTAAAAACTGGTTTTAATAAGAAAAAAAAATTATTTTTTAAGACGTGTGCAAATGTGTTTTTCATACATTTAAATTGGACAGTAAAACCAATGGCCAAAACAATTTTGGTTCCAACTTCCAAGTAGATTTTGAAAAACATTGATTCCTGATGTACAAATGGGAGAAGAATTTTTGCTCTGAACTCCACAATTACACGGGGATTCATGGGTGGGAACACAGCAGTATGCACATAAATGATAAAACCCACTGACCATATATATTAGGGAGAAGCTGTAGTTTCACGGGTTTGAATTGACTCATATTCATGCCTCATACGGTCATGCCTCCAATTTTAGTGGAATGCCTACTCTTTGGGGCCATCGGCATGTTCCAAGTTCTGAGAAATTGATTCAATTGGGATATGTTCCTTAAAAAGTGCATCTCACACCCACAGCCATAGTATATGTTTGGCATGAATGTTACAGATACAATAGGCTCAGCAGCTGATGTGTGGGTTGAAAGTACTGCTTTCTTAGAAAATGGTGTCTTTTATTTATTATTTTTTTTGGAAACGTTGCCAGGTAGGATGTTTCCTAGAGCAACAACAACACTTTTTGTCTGATATCAGTGTTTCATGTCTATTTTCAGCACCGTTACCCATTATAGGAAGTCCACATCGCTGCCACATCACATCCTCATTGATAGCTGAACAAAAAGCAAGAAAACTAGAGAAAATATTGTAGAAGAAGAAGAAATTCTTTATTACTTGTAACTGACTGAATACAACAACTAAAGCTACATTATATACACGTAAGAGTAGGAAAGAGAAAGAAGAGAAAAGAATAACAAACTAATCCAGCTCAGCAAAGTTTGTTATGAGTTGTTTAACAACCTAACTAACTCAACTAATACAGACTATTAATACTAACTAATAAATAATTCTCTACATCCCCCCCTCAAGTTGGAGCTTGATGAAGATCGATCAAGCCCAACTTGGAAAGCAAGGAATGAAATTGAGAACCTACCAATGGCTTTGTAAAGATGTTTGCGATTTGAGCATGTGTAGAAATGTATTGAGGCTTAACAAAACCCTGTTTGAACTTGTCCCTCACCAAATGGCAGTCAATTTCCAGATGTTTTGTGCGCTCATAGAAAACTGGGTTTGTTGTGATGTGTAATGTAGCTTGGTTATCACACCAAAGAGGGATTTGAAAATCTGCAAGAATGTAGGATATCCACTGCACTTCATAGACTGTAGTGGCAAGACTTCTATATTCAGCTTCGACTGAGGACCTGGATACAATTGTCTGCTTCTTAGTCTTCCAAGAAATAAGTGAAGAGCCTAGGTACACGCAGTAACCTGTAAGTGACTTTTTGGTTTGTGGACAAGATGCCCAGTCTGCATCACAGTAAGCTTGGAGATCAAACGTGCTGAAAGAGGGGAAAAACAAGCCTTTGCTGGGACAACCCTTAAGGTATTTGAGCAAGTGAACAGCTGCATTCCAGTGATCTTGAGTCGGGGAACTGACAAATTGACTCAAATGTTGGGTGGCATAAGAAAGATCAGGCCTGGTGATATTTAAATACAACAATCTGCCAATTAATCTCCTATACCTATCAGGATCAGGTAGTGCAGGACTGTTATAAAAAAACTTCAGTCCTTTAGGAAGAGGAGTTTGAGTAGGTTTAACCCCAAATAAACCTGCATCTTTGAGTATATCCAAGGCATACTTCCGTTGGTTAATATAAGTACCAGCAGTGCTCCTTGCAATTTCAAGCCTAAGGAAGTATTTTGCATAGCTAAGGTCTTTGATTGTGAAGGCAAAATCAAGAAATTGTTTTATTGAGATAATTTCACTCTCACTTGTACCTATTACAAGCACATCATCAACATATACAAGGAGAGCTAAAAATGTGTTAGGGGTATGCTTGACAAAGAGACAGTGGTCATGTTTGGATTGCAAAAAACCAAACTGTTGAAGCTTATTGCAGAATTCAAAATTCCATTTGTTGGAACCCTGTTTGAGGCCATAAAGTGGTCTTTTTAACTTACAAACCTCTCCTTTTTGTGCCTTCTGATAGTCTTCTGGTGGAAGCATATAAACTTCCTTATCCAAATAACCATGGAGAAAGGCATTGTTTATGCCAAGCTGATGTATTGGCCAATTCTTAATAGTAGCAACTGCTAGAAAAATTCTAACAATAACAAGCTTTACAACAGGACTAAAACTATCAAAATAATCAATGCCAGTTACTTAATGATAACCTTTAGCCACAAGCCTTGCTTTGTACCTTTCAATGGTACCATCAGGATTCAACTTGACCTTAAAAACCCATTTTGAGCCTATAGCTTTCTTCCCTTTAGGCAAAGCAGTCAGTTCCCAAGTCTGATTTTGTTCTAGAGCTTCTAGCTCTTTGTTCATAGCTTTAACCCACTCTAGATGAGTACTAGCTTGAGTGTAAGACTTAGGTTCTGGAATAGTTGATACATTTGCTAAAAAGCTCAAATATGCACTATCAAAAAATGGAGATTGGGTATAGGGAAAAGTAGGTGTGTAATTGGAACTAGTAGGGGGTAATGAGACCATATTAGTAGTAGGTAAATGATCAAAAATTGATAAATTTGTAACAAAGTCCTTGAGCCAAACAGGTTTGTTTTTTATTCTGGTGCTTTGTCTCAGAGGAGGTACTGTAGGAAGTTTAAGTGAAGAATGATTAGTTGAATGAGTAGAAGGATGAGACAAAATAGGAGTTGGAGAAGTATCAACAGGAGTAGACAAAACAGGATCAGATTCAATTTAGGGAACAGAATCAACAGGAGTAGTTGAATTGGGAATAGGAATTATAGATGAAACAGGAAAATTAGAATCAGAAATTGGATCTACAATTGGTAAGGGACAAGTAAAGGGTTTAGCTGAGAAAGAACGATATGGGAAAATATCTTCATGAAATATAACATCCCTGGAGGTAAAAAGTTTTCTGTCATTGAGGTCATAGAGTCTATAAGCTTTCTGTCCTAAGTTATAACCCAGAAAAATGCATTTAAGAGCTCTTGGTGCAAACTTGTCCTTATGGGGCTGAGTGTTTGTAACAAAACAAAGGCAACCAAACGTCCTTAGATATTTATAGTTAGATTTCCTTTTACACAATACTTCAAAAGGTGTTTTCCAATGTAAAACAGTAATAGGCAAAACATTTATAATATGTGTGGCCATTAGTAAAGTATGTCCCCAAAATATTTTTGGTAAATTTGCTTGAAACATCAAAGACGTTGCAATTTGAAGAAGGTGTTTGTGTTTTCTATCCACAACATCATTCTGTTGTGGAGAATAAACACAGTTTTTCTGGTGCAAAATACCTTGGTTAGAAAGAAAACTTTGAAAATCTTTATTAAGAAATTCAGTGCCATTGTCAGAACGGATACATTTAATTTTCTTATGAAATTGAGTTTCAATCATTTTGAAAAATATAATGAATGAAAATACAATCATGCTTTTATGGTTAAGCAAAAATATCCAAGTACTTCTGCTGAAATCATCAACAAGTGTAAACATATAATGTGCACCGGTAATTGAAGGATGTTTATAAGGGCCCCATAAGTCCAAGTGTATCAAATCAAGAATGCTCTCTGAATGAATTTTACTAACTGGAAAAGGCAATCTTTGTTGTTT